TCCACCTGTTTAAAAAGGGCAAGAGAATCTTTGGCAGCAGACTGGCCAATCTGGTGAGGTGAGCTCACTGAAGGACTGGAGGGGTGGGGTACAAAGTGGCAATTCTCATGCCATTGCTTCCTCCTGGGGAGTAGGACATGCCAATCAGTGCAGAGACAGATGTTCCTCGGCTGCCTCTCAAGATGAGAATCTTAAGGCTAGCAACATCCGTCTCTGACTTCGGATGTTCAGCTTCTACTACGCGTCGCTTTCCAGAAAGTCAAGCGCCTGCGGTCAGGTCTGGAAACGTGGAGCTCGGCTGGAGCGCTGCTGAAGCCGCCTGGGCAGGCAGTGCAGGCTGCAGGGCTGGGCTGGGCTGGGCTGGGCTGGGCTGGGCCGGGCCGGGCCGCCCTACCGCGGGCTGCCGAGCGGCTCCTCGCAGCGAGGGGCACCTCTGGGGCGGGGGCTCCGCCGGACGGGGAGGGGCTGGGCTGGGCCGGGCCCGGCCGGGGCTGCCCCTGCGGTCGCCACGGTCGCTCAGCGGCCCGGCCTTCCTGCTGTCCCTGCTGCCGCCGTCCCTGCTCGCCGGGGGCTGCGGGGGCTGCGGCGCTGGTGTTGCCTTCCTGCCCGGTGCACGGCGAGGTGAGGAGGCCCGGCCGGGCCTGGCCGGGCGGGGTGTGAGGGTCCCCGGGCCGCGGCTCTGCCCGGGGGGGGCGGTGGCTCCGTCGCGGGGCGTGCGGGGGGCGCCGCCGGCGCTGATGCGAGCGCCGATGCCGGCGAGGGCCGGCCCGGGCGGGCTCCGCCCCGAGGGAAGGTCCCGCTCGCCGCCGGTTGTGCCCGCGGAGGTACCGGGCCAGCTTGCCGAGGCTTAGCTGGCGTGCGTACCCGATAGCATTTAATTATATTGCATTTCTTGTTTCTTCAGCCAGCCTTCCCTCTTCAGCCCTTTTATGTATCGAGAAGCGTCTCGCGCCAGAAACATCTCTGAATGTTGGTAGCGGAGGTAGAAATAGTAATGTCAGAAAGGGATGCAACAGTGCAGGTGTGCGATGATATCTCCCGGCTGCCCTTCCCGGGGAGCGTCGGAGTCGGTGGTCTTCCGAGGTCTCTCACAGCCAGGGCTGTGTCCTGGGAGTGTGTCCGCCGAGGTAGCCCGGCGGCAGTCTGCTCCCAGCTTTCCCTCCCCGTGGGCAGAGCTGTGGAGATCTTACCTCTGCTTGTGGAGACTGACGGCTTTTCACAAGTTCGTACCTCCAGAGACCTTCCTGCTTTTGCTTGGAAAAGTGTTACCCTCAGCTCCTCAGAAGTTTTGGGTCGACTGTTGGGTACACAGTGAAGATTTGGTTTGTCTTCTGCACCCAAGAGATTTGCCTTGCTTTGCTTTATTGGATCCCTTGCCATTTTGAAGATGGGATGAGTTGATCAGGTTTTTAATTAATCTTGCTCTTGAGTTGATTCTCTTTGAATGGCCTTGCATCTTAACAGCACTTTGCTCTTAAAGAATTATTTGTAATGTTGATAGTTTTATTCTCCTGGGAGAGACCTACATGTTTTATAGTGAAACCATATATGTAGTATTCCCCATATATGTGGGGAAATGGCAGCAATTGAGTGAGTTTCCTAGTCTTTGTTTAAGGTAAGTGGGTGTCCTGTTACTTGTGATACTAGGAACCTGAGATAGGAAAAAAATACTGGCAACAAATATTTTCCTAAAAAGAATTAAACAGTCTGACTAACTGTTGAAAAACTTCTGGTATATAAATTTGCTTGTTTAATTTTGTTTTCATGCACAGTATTTGCAGGTGGTGATACTGTTTTTTACAAGTACACATAGGCAGCATGTCCAGAAACTTTGTGCAGGTATTCTCGAAGATTTTGTCAAGTTATCTTTGGTTACCTAATTTCTGTCATCAGAATAGATACCTACCTTAAGCCTCTAGCATCTGTTTTGCCACACCTTTTTTGGGAATTCCCTGTAATCAGATAAAGGGCATCGAGGGTGTTTGGTTATTAGTTTCTTGTAAAGTAGTCTTTGAAAGAAGAGATACTTCTTGAGCTGAAAAATAATTAATGGATAAATGTTAACAGTCACCCCTCCCGCCTTTGAACAGTACTTTTTTAGTGTTTTCATCGTTTTCTGATCTGTTACTTCTAGTATAAAACCTATTAGAAAAGGAAGACATAAAATCTGAATTGATCTGAATCAAATGGTTCTTTTTGAGCAGGATGAGAGTGCAGTTGCTGAAAGTGTTGTGGTGAAAATGCCCTTCCCTTCCTGTTCTTGTGAAGTGTGACTGGTAACTTGGGTAAACAGTGACTCAGTGACTTTCTGTGGCATCCTTGTTTAATTCTTTTTTACTTTTTTTTTTTTAGTGGTTGATACTTTAAAGTGAGCCAATCATCCAAAGTATGGGAGTTTAAATAGTGGCTGGCAGTTTGTAAGTCTCTGTGAAAGGCTTAAGTTCAGTATACAAATTTTAAATCTCCATTGGAAAAACAGTGTTGCTGCAGAGGATGGTAAGAAGTCCATATGCTGTGTTTTGTGACAGTCTGTGCAACCTTTAAAGTGTAAAGGTTGCTACTAGCTGTAACTGGTTCTCACTATGTGGCTGTGAATAGTGGTACTTGGGAGTAAGATCCCATTGCGAGTGAGAATCAACAACTGTATTTCTCTTTCAAGGATAATAATGGATAATAACAGTAGTTATTATTTATAAATATAGTAGTTATTGTTTATAAATATAGTAGTTACCATTTATAAAATAAAGAGGTTTTGACTGATTTTTTTCACCACTCCATTTCCACCCACCTGCAAACCATCATCTCTTTTTCTTGGAAGACTGGGCAGCCAAATGTTTTCTCTCTGATTCACTTTTTTAAGAATTTTTTTCTTTTTACAGTTTTATTTAACTTTTTTTTTTCTTTAATAAAACTCAGTTTCTAGTAGCTTTTAGTCTGATTTAACTGTGTCTGAGTGTAACTAAGTTGTTAATGGAAGAGGTTTTGATTAGTTTGCTTGGTTAATATAGTATATTTCTATTCAAGCAGTCAGACATAGGAATTTTATGACAATACGTGAAAAAAAAAAAAAAAGGCAATTTCTTCCAGAATCTCACTGGGAAATTGGAGAGGAATATGCAAAAGATGGGGATAGCACCATGTGGGGGGCCCTCAGTGAGAGGAGGTTTCCCCATCCTGAACTGGTCTGATCGGGATGGGGCTGTGTGCCCTCTATGCTGTGTGTTAGCTCGGTTAGCCTGGAGGTCCTTGTTTGGGGTTTTTTTCCTCCCCCCTGCCATCCCCCCCCCCCCACCTCTCTGTTTATGGCCCTGCCTTTCCAAAGGGCTTTTTCTAAGGCTTGGCCCTTTTTCAGAGTTCCAGGTACTCAGATCTCCAAGAGGTGTGTCTTCACTTTTCAATGGCTGCTGCAGCTGCCCTGGCTTATGTTGTCTTCGTACCATGCAATGCCTGGGTGGTGCAGGAGGAAGTTTGTAGGCAGGTGCGCTGGTAGGAGATAAGGGACCCCTTTTACTTTCCTGCTTGCTGTGTGCCTATTGAATTTTTCATCTTTTCCAGTTGTTCTTGCTCGGCAGGTTTTACGGAAGCACACAGAGCTGGACCCTGGACTTGGCTTTCCTTCCTGGAGTCTGAAATGCACCATTCTGCTCTGTTTTTACTTCTAAAGCCTTAGTCTTGAGACTTGTTCAGCAAGGTTGTTACTTTTCTGTAGTGGAAGACTGCTGGATACCAGCTATCATGTTGCAGCAGAGTATAGTTGAAGAAGGAATTCTTCAGTCTGATAGTGGGTTAGTGTGGGAAGTAAAAGTATGCTATGTGGTAATTTGCTTGAATATCTTAGAGTCTAAAACACCTCCCTCTTGATGAAGCACACTATGTTGGCAAAGCAGGATGAAATCTGCTGTTCAGAAGTCAGGAATTTTATGCATGTGCTCATTTTTTTTTATCTGTTGTGGACATTGGTGAAAGACGGATTCCTTCATGTTCAGTGAAATTACTTTTTTACGCATAAAATCAGAAACATATTTTAATTTCAACTGAAATAACTGTGCCAGGCCAGATGTTTCCTGGAGAACAGCATGTGCAAACACATTTTCCTGTAAATGTACTTACTGAGCTGATTTGCTTACCTCTCCTCCAAAACACGAGTGTATGTATCCGTGAAAGAAAGTTGAACAGGTTTTTTATTTTAAATTGATGATAGAAGGAATATCAATATTGCAACTGAGGTAAAGTTTTGGGCCTGCTGTTCAGATGGAAGATCCTTCCGTGTGTTTCATCTCTTTCCTCTTCCTTTTACCTTTCCTTCTGTTCAGTATAAAAATGTATTCCTAATTAACATAAATTATTTAAGGACAAAGAACACTGGATTTTCTAGGAAGAGCAAAGTCAAACATGCTTTAGTGAAATCAGCACTTTCTTGCCTGTTTTTTAATAGCTGAAAACAGCAGAAAAGGTGCTGATGCTGCCAGAATTGTGTACTCTCTAGGTGTATTGGCATTTCTTTAACATGGTTTTGTGCCTGTGTCTTAAGCTGAATGGTGAACAAATCATTCTTCCTTTGAACAATATAGTTGCTTTCCCTCTGAAAATTTTTGAGGTAAATATCTAGTCCCATATATTTATCCAGTAGATAAATTCCAGTGCAAGTTGTTACTGCTGATAATGTGGACTACTTTATCTATTTCTGTCAGCAGTAAGGAATATACCAATTATATTATTCAAGGAACATTTGGAATGATGCATTATGTCTTGCAGTTGTGTGTTTAGTAATTTTTCAGTGTTTTTGAATATACCAACTAATACTCTTACAGCAAAGAACAGGATACGAATAACTTCATGACAGGTTCTGATACACCTTTTTTTTTTTTGAAATATAGTGTTTTATTCTGGTTATGCAGAGGTAAATCAGTTCTTTTAGCTAATGTCATGGTGCTGATCATCCCCTTTGTCCTGCTCTGGAGATCTATGGTGCCTGCTGACTGCTGGCATCACACTCTTCCCCTGCGTTTATGGTGTATATCCACATGTAAATTCTTTGAGAGTTGTTATCATTTAACAGCTTCTAAAACATTGCAACCTGTGCATTGCATCTGTAGGGATAAAGCTGGTTTACTTAAGAGCATCACCTTGAGAGACTGTACCATATGTTAATAGTAAATGTACCCATTTTATATTTAACTAGTGTCTTGTGATGCATCCATATTTGCTCTCTGCCTTTTATCTTCTGTGCTCATTTTCTCTGGCTTTTGTCTGCAGGAATGCAGAAACAAAAAGGGTTAATCTCAGTTTACAAGGGAGCAATCTACTAGAAGCTGCGACTGAGAGTCGCAGTGGAGTTTGAGGATTCACTGAGCTAGGTGCCATTATGCTTATTAGGACCAGATTTTGCCAAATAATAAGATGAATGTGGCCTGTTAGAATATAGAGAATTGCTATTGCCCTTTACCCCTGCTTATGTTTTAAGATGGACTGTTTCTTAGGAATAATGTAAGTCTTAGTAGCAACCAGTAGAACCCTTGGTACTGCTCATTCATTAAAGCAGGTAATTTATTTTCAGAAAGGTTATTTATTTTCTGTTAGGAGCGAAGAAAGCAGCTGAGGATCAAAACAGAGAACACTTAAAGCAATTAAGCATTGAAATCAATGGCGTGTCTGCTAATATTTTTATTTATTTTTAGATTATCCTTGAAATAGTTTGGTTCAATCTGACTTATTCACAAGCTTGGAGCTACAAAGTTAACATAGTATTATCAGAGGAAAGAAGTTGAAACTGCCTAATTTTAGGAAGCAAAGTGCAAATTACTTCTCAAACAGTAAGACATTAAGTTAATTTTCTCAGTAAATTAGGTAACAAGGAATCTGTCCTCTGTCTGTAGACCAGTGTTGTCTAATTAGCTTCTTGGGTGGAATATATGATAAAAGAAAGGCTGATTTTTTCTGTTTATTACAGATTTTCATTGTATTGTTAGGTGTATGCAAGACATTCCCATCAAGACTGTGTGAAGCTTTATGTACAAACTGATAGTATTTCTTTGTCTTTCAGATGGAAATACCTAGGTAGTACACCTTCCTTGCTGGGTGTATGCCCATCAGCTGAGAGCTGTTGCATTACTGCTAAGAAAGTTTTGTTGTGTGTATAAAATAGCTGTAGTGGAGGATGTAATATAATGTGTCCTTTTTGATTTGCAGGTTTCCACGCTTGTGGTTCTTTGGATTTGTTTTTTTTCTTGGGAATGGTAGGTCTAGGAAGCAACTGCCGAGGGATGAAGTCTCCACCACTCCTTATGGCTGCACTCGTGGCATGCATCATTGTTCTGGGTTTCAATTACTGGATTGCAAGTTCTCGCAACATGGATCTGCAGGTAACTTTCCTTTTGCTCTGCATGTTGTTTTGTACTTTCATGGTTAATAAACATAGTTCACAAGAAGGGTGCTTCCCAGCCAGGAGCTTCAGCTTGTTTTAGGAACTTTCACAAATATTACTGTTGTTGCTTATCAGTAGTAGTGGGAGATGGGGATAATGGGATGAATGCCTATTTGTAGGTGAGGGGGACGCAAATCTTGAAGACTTGGGTGTATATTACTTCTGCTCACACAAAGTATTCAGCTGTCTTATGCTATTTCAGTTTAAATGCTGTCCTCTGTTTTTTCTTCTTAACTGTACATTGAGACTGGCAGTCCATTTCTAATGGGAATGGGTGTTCATTTGCTCAATTTGCTCATCTATCTTGGTTTCACTGGAGTTGGTAATGAAGCCCCACACAACTGATCATTTCTCCCCCACCACCAGGATCGGGGGGAGAATCAGAAGAGCATAAGCTGGAGAACTTGTGGCCTGAGATAAAGACATTTTAGTAGGGAAAGCAAAAGCTACACATGCAAGCAGAGCAAAACAAATAATTAATCCAGTGCTTCCCATGGGCAGCAGGATTTCAACCATCTCCAGGAGAGCAGGTCCTCATCACATGTAATGGTTACCTGGGAAGACAAATACCCTCACTCCAAATGTTTCCCCTCCCCTTCCTTCTTCTTCCCTGCACTCTAGATACTGTGCATCATGTCAGTGGTCTGGAATATCCCTTTGGTCAGTTTGGGTCACCTGTCCCAGCTATATCTCCTTGCATCCTCCCACATACCCCCAACTTCCTTGCCAGTGTGTCAGGGTGAAAAGCAGAAAAGGCCTTGGCTCTGTGTAAGCCCTGCTCAGCAATAACAGAAACGTCAACCCTGTGTTCAGCACAGATCCAAAACATAGCCACATACTAGCCACTGTGAAGAAAATTAACTTTATCCCACCCAAAACCAGCACGCTCATCTCCCAAGATTTGTTGTCTTTCATGACCCATAAGATTGTATGTACACTTTCCCATGAAATACAAGGAAATCTAGGTTGTTCAGTGTCTAAAAATCTGTATTTGTGTTTGTTAGTAACCTTTCTAAAGGAGGACACACAACTCTTATGGAATAATTACCTGCTATTTTTGTAATGGTAACTACAGTTTTTGTTGCTGTTGAACTTGTGTTTTAATCCTTTCTAGAGCATTTATTCTGAAGTAGGCTGTGTGAATCAAGTTTCTGCTTTGTGACAATTTGTACAGGATGGATTTTTTTTTCCTTTGTTTTTAGCAAGCAAACCTAAAAGGGTTTTTAGTAATTAAACATGGCTGATGAGAGCTCTCCCAAATTTTATCAGTGAATTTGTATCCTCGTTGTAACTGAGCTGAATTTTAGTACTGAGTTGACAGCTGAAGGGGTTGAACTCCTGTTTTACCTCACAGTGGGCACTGTTTAAACAGGACACTTGTCTCTGGCCTTGTCGTTAATGGTATGTCTTGGCTTTCTCTTGTTGTGACTTATGAGGCTCTGGTCATCCCTTGCTTTCCCTTTAGTCAGTGTCCTCAGGATGGTGGCTACCATCAGGTAATAACTACGTCAGTACCACGGAAGTTTTACTGCACAGCTGTGAAGCAGCTAATACTGAGAAAAAAATGCTGCCATCCTTGTTTAATCTTGGTCTCAATAACCTAGAGATATAAGGTCATTTTTAATGTTACTGATGTACTGTACTATCCTGTACATTTCTGCCAAAGTTAGCCTGAAAGTCATTTCAGTTCTGCATGATCATGAAGTCTGAATGGAATGGAATAAAAGCATAGCTAAGGGCACGGGTGGAGCTTCTAAAGTGCTCTGTCGATTCATTTGTTTGTTAGCAAGACTTTGCAGCTATTATGACTGAGATAGAATAAGTGCGTTTCTTTGCTTTTCCAACTAAACTACAATTCTTTTTTCTTATTTTTTCTCTGCCTCCTCTCCCTTCTTTTGCTTTCTGTGGCAGAGAAGCAGAGTAGGTGGGCCACAGTATAGAGCATTACTGTGGTGTAAGAAGATTTTCTTGGAGTCCTGGAACATGCACAGTTTCTAATCTATCTAATTTTTAATCCGCCTGGAATCACCAGACCTTTTTATCTGGGTAGATTCTGTTGATATCCTCATCCTCCTGCACGTCTTTGTACTCCTCATTGTTGCAGAAGAACAATTGTAGTGCAAAATGTTTAGAAACTGTCCTGCAAAACTAAATTGGTGCCTAAAAAAATAGAAAGGGAGGGAAAAAAAGGAGCTGTGGTTACATCAAGCTTGATTCCTCAGCTTATGTCTCTGTGTTTGTATGTCCACTATGTGATGGTATTGAATTTTCTTCTGATTGTCTCTGTTCTTTGAGCAGTCATGAAGAATGATGATTTTCTGTTTCTAAATTGAGTTCTTCTCATGTGTGTATTTTGTGTAATAGCCATATGTCAGTTGTTCGTGTAGAAGTTGGGCTGTGTTGTCATCTCTCTGCTCTTTCCTAGGTCTTTCAGGAAAACAGATTTATTTGAGAGATACGTTTTCACTTTGAGTTGGTTTAGGATCAACACTGGGAGGTGTAGAGATGTCAGAATTGTATGGGTTGAATGAAAATAATTGTTTGACCTTGTACTTCGGAAGGATTGTGGACTGTATTTTTTTCCTTTTTTTTTTTTTTTTTTAAGCTCAAGTACTGAGGCAGCTTTCCATTTTTATTTTTAACTGAAATTTTGACAGTCTCTACAAAATATGCTGTACTGTTAATTTACATGACACTAGGGAGACGTGTGTCTGTATGTGTGGTAAGTATCCCTATATCAGTACTTAAATTACATGAGCATTGTTAGAGCTGTGAAACTTGCTATTACTTGAATATATTGGAAGAGAGTCTGGCAAAGAGGAAGCATTTCTATTGGTTTTGGCTAATCTACTTTTCCTCAGAATCGAGTCATGGATCTGGAAGGCAAAGTCCGGAGGGCGGCAGCGGAGAGGGGTGCTGTGGAGCTCAAAAAGAATGAATTCCAGGGGGAACTAGAGAAGCAGCGACAGCAGATTGACAAAATCCAGTCCTTGCACAGCTTCCAGATGGAAAATGCCAACAGAGTACATCAGGAAGAGAAGGTAGGGCTTTTTTTAGCCACAGTTTTTTGTGAGACTGTGAATTACCAAGACAGAATTACCCTGCAACAGAAAATGTTTCTCACATGTTCCAGCTGATGGGCACACAGTCAGTGTTGGTGTGGCAAAACATTTATGTGTCATATTATGATATTTAGAAAATGAACATCAAATGCATGTTATAGCATTTGCTGTGTAATATATGAAATACTAGAAGCTGCAAGTAGTAGCACTTCTGACTAAAACCCCTACCTCTTCTGTAAGTCATGGTTACCAACCTTGGATTGGCCTCTACCTTTCTTTCTTGTGTACTAATGTTTTAGTAATTAAAAGAAAGAGGAAAATGCATCAAGATATACATTTGTATTACCAAATACATTTGTAAGCACAAATGGTTGTTGTTTATTTCTAAACGCATTACAAATTTTGTGGCACCTTGGCCTTCTGTCTCCAAAACTCAGTAGTGCTGGGAAGACATGAGAAGGATAGACTTTCATGGCAGAGCTCCTGACTGTACAGTGTTGCCAGGGAGACTGAAGTCCTTTGTGAAGAACATGAAGTTGGCTACTTAAATAGCAGTGTGTACAATTGCTGCTGTGTAGTATCTTGCAAACTGTTCTGTTGTGTGTTTTCCTCCTGTTGCTGATACCATTTTGAATGTGGTTGTTAGTCATTGATATCACTTTTCACCCTGTTAGTAGAAATATTTAGTTGAAAGTATTCAGTTGCTTCTCCTGTAGAGCCTCTTGATTGGATTTTTGTAGATCAGCTTTCCATGACTATTACTTCCAGCAGGCTGAGCAGACACAACACATGATAGTAGTAGATGTTATTCAGGTAGTGGGTTCACCATGAGGGGATGGTTTGCTGCTCAAAACTTGTGGTGACTGAGCAAAATATCACCAGAATAATCTTTGAAGGATTTAGAGGAACAAAAGTTGAGTAAAAGTGAAAGGTGTTAGAGCTGTGAACCTTGCTATTACTTGAATATATTGGAAGAGAGTCTGGCAAAGAGGAAGCATTTCTATTGCATTTCTATATGCACTTCAGTTGTATATATCTTTATTTTAAAATAATTGTTACCCAAAGTCTTAAAAGAAATACTAACCCAATTCTTTTTACCTCTTTTGAGACAAATATGTTTCTTTGATGTCTCTCTTCTCTTTGGGTTCAGTCTTTGCATATACTTAAAAAAAGATGAGGCATAGTTTGTCTGTTTTTTAATGTCTGTATTTATTAGAAAGATATCCCAGGATAGTCAGACAGCATTTGAATGGGTAATCGATCTTGTTGTCACTTCTGCCTCCAAATATTGGGTGTTGCTACTGGGTGCTGTGGCACTTTTTTGTGTTCTGCATCTGCCTTGCAAGGACTAAAAATGCTTCCATGAGTGGGGAAAATTAACCTGAACCCAAAAGATTCAAAGGTCAGAAAAGGGCAAATGTAACAGTGTTATGCTTCCTTTTCATAAGTAGATATAGCCAAAGTTATTAAAAGACGCTGGAAATGTAATTGCTGGCCACAGAGCTCACAGCACAGGCTAGCCAGATGGGTGGATGTTGAGAGATTGTGACAGGAGCTCATCTGGCATCTATGCCAGGAAAAGTGGTGAAAAGTATTTTACAAAACTGGAACTGCTGGTGGACATGAGGGAGAATGTGGTAGTTTGGAGAAGAGTCAAAGCAGCTTCTGGCAAAGAAAATCTTTCTTCTGAAGTCTTTTGGAGTTTTCTGCTGAATGAATCAGTGACAAGGATGAGGTAGACAAACGAACACATTCATACCTGAAATTGCAAAAGTCAGTATGCTCATAACTTGTAGAGATACTAAGCAACCATGAAGTACTATGGCAGTTATCTCGGGGTGAATGATAAGGCAAACGTTACAAATACTTACAAAAAGTTACAAAAGCTTAGAAATACACTGGGGAGGTCACCACTGGAGTTTTGGAGTGCTGGGAAAGGCACGGAGATGAGAACAAGGATTACCAAAGCTCTGCAGTAGTTTTTTTACAGGAATCCACTATGTATGTTACAGGCTGGACAAAAATCAGTAGAGGAGAGCCATCATAGCCATCTCCAGGATCCCAATGGGACGTGTTTGTGGCTAGGAGAGATATGGTAGGGTTGTTCTCCATCCACTGATAGGCTTCAAATGCCGTCATCAAGTTGTAGTTCAGACTGGGCAGAAGGTAGTGCTCTTCAGGCAGTAGATGCTGAAGCTGCAGTTCTGTGACATCCATAATATGCAGTTGCAGTGGGTCTCTGTAGGTTAAAAAGCAACTGGAAAACCTGGGACAAGCACCTACCCCACCACCCAGTACCAAGATGTTTGTTCTGTCTCAAAACATTTCTCAACCAGAAGTAGCAGCTGCTTGGAAAATACTTTGCTTTGTGGCTGCCATGGAATTCATTTGGCATTCCCGTGTTAAAGATGGGATGCTGGGAAAGGTGGATTTTGGGGCCAGCCTAGTAGCCCATTCTTCTTAAATGCTTTTCCATCACCCTAAAATATGGTTGTTCGGTAATGAAACAGTTTGTGAAGCTTTCTTTGAAACCTCAGGAGCTGATGCTTTAGGAAGCATAACATGAAAGTGGTGCATTGGACTAATTTCCTATATTCTGCATTTTGTGCCTGGAGAACTGCATGTCTGAGGAGCCTGCAGTGGTAGGATGAGTGTGTATGTGCCTGTGCACCGTTTTGTGTCAAATTCAAAATTTGTTTTTGTTGCAGCACATGAGCAAATATCCTACACGGGTGCTGTTTGTTTTCCAACTCTAAATTAAGAGTAGAGAGAGTTGTGTTACTGGGAACCTGTGTATGTGTCAAAGTTGTCATCAGCCAAGTTGTCATGGGTTCATCCACTGTGATTCAGGAGTTCCACTGTTATGGTGGCAGTGAAGAGAGGGAAAGCTTAGTCCTCCTCACTAATGACCTTTGTCTGAAGAAGCTACCTAGGATCAGAGGTTATTCCACAGAGGGATGGGGAATATAAGAAACGACTGTTTCTGAGTGCTTTTTTGTTTATGTGTATCTATATCTATGTATAAATGTGTGTGGAATCCTTGGTTTTCAGCTCCATGGATTCCAGTGGAATCTGGGATTCCTGGGAGGCAAGTAATGAATTCACTCTTTCTGGTTATGGGAAGTTTGCTCCTTGAACTGAACTTTTTTTACCCTGTAAGGATTAGCAGCAGGTATTTGCCTATTCAGGAAGAATAAATGCCAACACAAATCCTGAGTCTCTCAACTCGTTTTGCAAGTAATACAAACTGTATAACTAACTGGAGAGATCTTTGAGTGATAAATGAGATTTGCTTAGTTCTTGTGGTTGTTCATAAAGAAAAATAAAAATGCTTGCAGCAGATGTGTAGGAATGAACAGTCTCTCAAACCCTCCACATTTTCAGGGAGAAATGATGGTTTTTCTGGTTATAAAAGAAATTTGTATGCAAGGAGACTTCCACAATCTGGCCTTCTTAGCAAAAGCAACTTGCAAATAACATTTGCGACTCCTCTTAATTGCAGTTCATCTCTATGTCTTATTACTCTGCTGATAAAATACAGAATTATTATGCCACTGATTTAGTTTCATACCAAGCTGGTACACCAGTAAGGTACTTGCTCTGTTAAAGTTGTTGCCGGTGGCAGTGCAGTAATCACTTTGAGTTAAATCTGCCTTCTTTTGAAGTAGAACTGTCTCTGTGCTACTAAAAGGTGAGGGCATAAAAAGTAGGAGAACCGGAAATACCCTGTGGGTTCACCTTTCACTGAGGCAATGTAATTCTGGAAACCTCTGTTGTAATTACTCTCTTAGGTCAGAGTATGTATAAAACACTATTGTCACTAGTTTGCTTTCAAAAAACCTGCTTGAAATTTTAAGGAATAGTGTAGATTTAGGGAATAGCTTTTGGAAATCCATACAGAAGTAGAATGAAGAGGTCAAAAAATCTTACATGAACACTTGATAACAACAGATTGGGAATCGGGAGTGCAAAAGGGCTGTTTCCAACCTGTAAGCAATTTTCTGAAGAGCAACACTCTGTGTGGTTGTTATTCAAGACTCGTAGCAACTAGGACGTACACAGCCACAGCTGTCTCATTGAAGAGCATATCAAGACAACAATATGTGTAATATCTCTTACCTTTAACTGAAAGAACATGCTTTTGCAGTTGATAATTTTCTTTGAATTTATAAAATTCTTCCCCAGCCCACATCCTGTTTTACTGAGGAGAGGGGCCAGGGTATGTATGTTCTCTGTGAAGCATGTCTCTGTCCTGTTGCTCAGTGTTTTTTAACACAGGCTGCAGCTGCTCTCTGGTCCCCTCCCTCTGGGAAAATTTCAATTCCAAGCACAGTCTTCTGAGACAAAAATACCTATTGGTATGCAAGGAGTCAGCTCCACTCAGAAGGAATTACAGTAGTCAGCAGGGAGTGAGAAGAAAGCCTTCTGTGAAAAGGGAAAGGTGCCTATGTGTGTTTTGATTTTTGTTTGGTTTTTTTTCAAACCAAATAATCTTGCATATTCTAGCTTTAGAAAGGCTTTGAGGAGTGTCCCTTACTTGCCATAGCATGATCTTACTAAATTAGCATGAGAAATCAGTCTGATTACTCATAACTGGTACAGCAGAAGTCTAGAAGACCACCTGTGTTCAAAATGTATCTTCCACATGTTGGGGAGAAGCAAAATCATCATCTGAGACTTGCTGCACTGTAGGCACCCTTAGAGTGGGAATTTAGATTATGTGTAGTTTAAGAGTTAACTACTGGAATGTTTCTACCTCTTCATGGCAAAATGAATGGACAAAAAGAAACGCAAAAGGTACCTTAGATATATCTGTACAAGTTTTATGTTAAGATTCTCATATCATAGGTTTTTGTTTTGCTTACACTGCCTATTATTTGGGTTTTAGTTAAATATAACAATATCCTGAAAGTCCTGTAGGTGTACAGGGCTTATTTTCTCTAATGCATTTGCTGGTGCACTGCACTCATGAAAGTAATTTCTTTCTAAGATGTTAGTTTCCCCTCTCTTCTGCTGAGAGTGTAAGAAGTTGTTAACCTTGCAATTTTGGTGGTTTCTGCAGTTTTGAAGGTTGAACTGTACTGTGTCATGGTGCACGTCTTTGGTGACAAAAAGGGAGAGGCTAGATGGCTTGTTGCATAGGATGTGAAACAAGTTTGAGTCTCTGACCTTTGCCAGAATCACTTTTTAGGAACAGAGCTGGCTTTTTGGGTTTGGGTTTTGTTGTCTGGGTGGGTTGTTAGTTTGTTTGGCTGGGTTTTTTTAATTGTTTGGAAATTTTTGGAATTTTGGAAATTGATTTGGTGGGATTTTTTTACATTTTTTAAGGATGAGAAAAAGTCTGCAATTTTTGAATGGAATTCATTTCAGTGAAAAATAGATTTACATAAACAATGTCTCCTCCATTTTGGGCTTGAAATTTATTTTAAGTCTTACTTCAAATGATGTGCCTCTACTGAAGTATACATGAGTGTGCAGCATGCAGACCAACTTAAAAGAGAAATATTTTTTAGGAATCTTATTTATGAACTTTTGTCCCCACATACTAATACATGAATCTCTTGGCCTGGAATGAAAAAGCCTTGTTGTGGCTCATTGCCATGGTTTAACCCCAGCTGGCAACTAAATACTGTGCAGTCACTTACTTGCTCCCCACACCTCTCGCTAGATTTTTGAAGAAAACACGTGGCTTCAGATAACTGAATCAAAATCAAATAACAATGGTAATGAAAAGGAGAGAGAGGAATAAAACCCAGGAGAAGCAAGAGATGCACAATACAGCTGACAAATGCCCATCCCGTCCCCCAGCAGCTGTCCTGGCTGTGTCAGAAAATGGGAAATTGGAAAGTTCTTGACTCAGGGTAAGCACTACTTGGCAGCAACTAAAACATCAGAGTCTTACCAACATTATTTTCATGCTGATGCCAGCACGATGGTGGGGACCATGCAAGACAGGTCTACTGCTTTTCTTTGCAGTAAGGACTTAAATCAGTTTGAGTTAATCATGCTCTGCTTCTCCCTGATTAATTATAGATGTCTATTTTTTCATGTATAAATCTTAGCCTCCCATCTTGCTTTATTCACAGTTGGTTTTGTTCTTAGCTGCTGAATTACTGATCCTGTGGCTCACCTTTGTCTCCTTTGTGCTATATTTGTAACTGCAAAGCCCTTTTTTTCTTAGGTGTTAGTTTTAAAATTAGTGTTTACGCTCATCATGTTCTTTGCTGTTTTAATTCTTTCTCCTGTTGCAATATCTCACGCTTCTATATACAGCACCTACAAATCAGTGTTAGAAAGCACGTGTCAGTTTGGCGTACTTGGGTTAGCTTGATTTATGATTGCAGCAAATACTGAAGGAGTAACTGTAGTAATTCCTCCAAGGAATATTTTTATGGAGAGTATTGTGTAAGGTGTTAGTTGGATCAAATGCATGTACATAGTCCAGAGTATGTGCTCAAAACATAGATTTTAAAATATTCTCCCTCCCATGTATTTCTGCATTATGTTTTTAGGTTTTTTAAAACAGTAACTTTAACTTTGTGTTTCTTAAGTGAAATATGACTAATGTAGACATGTTCTATGGTGAATAATAATAACAAAATCTCTGTCAGTTGTCATTAAAAAATTTGCAATACAGCTGGAGCAAGATTTTTTCCCTCACTGCTGGTGGAAGTGTGACACTTGACTTTTGGTTTCTGAAGACCTGCTGTCTACAACATTGTCTTCAATCAGGATTCTGATTTCTATCTCTGTGTCAGTTACAGGGACTTCTGTGCAAGACATATTTGCAAATATAACAAGCTGTCTCTGTTTCAGAGACATTCTGTCACAGAATGTCAGATTTTGATATGGTGATAGAGTTATTTTCCAAAAGCTGGATTTTCAGTTCTGGGGATGATAGCTATTGTTTCATGGGCTGATTGAAGTTTAAAATGTGAGTTTCTTTCTAGACTTGAGTATTGGCATATGTCTGGTCAGTGCTTGCCTCCAATTTTCTTTCTTGAACTGCATAAAAACCCAAGAGAAAAAAAATGCTTGCTTAATTCACAGCCTTGACGGGAAGATTGCTTAACACTGGAATGACAGTCAGATTGGAAGCTGGCAGTTGCAGTGTGTTTCTGTAAATTATTAAACAGTATTTCCTGCTCAAGTTAAAAAGCTAACTAGATTTTTTGTTATTGTTTTTCCTTGGACCCTTGCCCACACATTCAGGGAGGCAGGTATGGCATTGCCAAAAGAAAGTTTTATATGCAAGCCAGAAAGACCAAGGCATGCTTTTTTTCTGCTGTTGTGATTCAAAGAGCAAATACATGGCAAATAGTTCTTCTCACTTCAGCTACTCACAGTTACTATTGTCCGAATGTGCAAAATATTTGACACTTGTCTGTTTTGCTGCCACGTAAGCACTCCTGGTATTTGGGCGTGTCATTTTAAGAAAAAAACCCCACAACCAACAAAGCTCCACTGCAATAAAACCTCAACCAAACAAATACAAAGCCCCTCAAAACCAACAAACCAAAAAACCCAAACCACAACAAACTGTAGGAATATAAAATTGCTATATTATACTGATTTTTCTGGTCTGTTGACAGTTTCTAGTAACAGCCAGTGATGTATACCCTGAAGATAATAGTCATGGAACAGCCTGGCTACATTGTTCATGCATTAGCAAAACTTGGAAATTCCACTAAAACGTTAGGTTCCTTTCCCCAGTAAACCAGTGAAAGCAAATTCATTTTTTATTTACCTGTCCTATGGGAAAGGAGAGGGAGATATGTTAAACATATATGCTATTATTAGTGTTACTTGGTTTGCCATTTCCTTTTTAGCAAAGGAGCAAGACCTTTGCTCTTGAGGTTTCACAGTGGTGTTCACATACCAGCTGTACATACAGAACAGTGTAGAAGTACTTGGCAACAGGTGAATGACTGCCTCTATGAAGTGGGACTCTTTAAAGGGTCAGCCAAAGACAGATCTCCCCTTCTGCTGGATCCTAGCCCACTCAGATTGATTGAACACTGCACTTCAGCTAATCAACTCTTATTACTGTAGTCTGTGTGAGAAAAAGCACTGATGATGATGTCGGTGTTTCAGGGTGACTTGGGCAGACAGAATGGATGCTGCTGTTTTTTTGCAGTTGGGTGGTGTGGACATATGTGCACATCAGTACTAGAGCAGAAGCTTTGGGAAACTGGGGACTTGATATATCCTGATCTGGGATGCATGGACACTGAGGTTTCCCAGGACAAGGATAATGAGGAAATTGGCACTGAAGCCTAAGAAGTCTTTTCCTAAGATTGAACTGGATTGTTTCTGAAGAATAGGTGGATTTCTTTTTTTTTTTTTTTTTTTTTGGTAGTCTTAAGAACTCTTCTGCACCACACTTGCTAAATGTTAAATATTAATTTGAGTTATCCTGATATCTTGCTCACAGCAATTAACTTAATTTAGTCTTGACTTGGTTCTGTCAGTTTTCAGGTGTTTTGGTTATGTATGTGTATGAAATGATAGACAAAGTTTGATGAAAGAATGGACAAAACATGTTCCTATGTTGACTACCTCTTCAGAATGAGAGAGAGAGCAAAGTGAGGAAATGGAGGAAGACCACTCCAGCATAGCAGCAGTGGAGAGGATAGTTAGAAAAGGGATAGAATGCTAGGGCTTCATGCTGCTTTTGTGAAGTTCTTTTGTGCTCAATCATTATTGCTTTCATTGCTCATCTTTGTATTGGCTGAATGCAGGTGTATTGATTCCTGAGTGAGAGGGTAATTGATAGTAAGCTGTACTATGCTGTATTCTTCCTTCAAGAGATAAATACAGTAAATTTGACTGTGACTGCCGTTGTGAGATTAAAGTACAATAAAGCAGAAAGCAATTTTAGTATCTTTAACTTCTTTTAAAGTCTTCCTCTTTGCATCTGTACAGTGATATGTTCCCCCTGTCCACACCACTGCCCACCCCCGTGAACACCTTTAGTAGGGAATCTGGGTTAAAATGAATGTTTGCTGTTTGCAATAGTAGATCTCTAAAACAGCTAAAAGTTTTTATTTTACTGTAACAGAGAACTTCACAAAAAACAGTTCATTACAAGTGCTTTGATAGGTGTTGTTTATAATATTAATGGTAATACCAATCCTTTGCAATTAAAACATTGTTTTTTGTTTTGCTTCTTTCAGGCAATACTGCTGAGTAACATCACAGTAAATGATCGATTGATTCAGAATCTGCGAGGTATGTTGTAATACCCCTGTGCATCTCTCTCATACTGTTTTTAGGCACTCTGTTTTTAAGACTTTCATGTTTCTGGGGTTATTTGAGAATGCTGCCTTTCTTCAAGTCATGGGGGTGGTGCAGGAGCTGCAATGATTTAGATACTTCTTCTGCATAGTTCCAGTTTAGTGAAGTGTGAGAATAATCTACCTCGACTATAGAAGGATTTGACCATGTACTACTTCTGACTCTTACTATATGAAATAATACTGAATGAAACTAGATTAATATATTTATACTCTATTCTACCTTTTACAGCATATTCTTGCCTTTCTCCCTGGAGTGTTGGGTCATGCATTTTAGCTCTGGAGGAATTCACAAATGCCTGTATTGAATAAGAAAACTCAGTCTAATTCATTTCTATTCATGTTGGTGCTTCACAGTTGTTACTAGCAATGTATTCCTCAGGAGGTCTGGGAAATGGATTCTGAGCCCTATAAATAAGTAAATATGTTGTGGTGCCACCTGCTGGCACCCTCATGCAGAGCTTTCTATCATGAAGAAAACTCTAAATCACAAGTGCTGCTATTGTTTCTGTTTCTTATTCAGGAATATAGTTGTAAATTGCACGTGATTCAGGGAAGCACTGTAAGCTTGTCTTTAGATGCTGATAAACATGAATACCATTTCTTGCTGTGTTCTGATTATGATTTCATAGACCTAAGGATTTCCTGGGCTGAAACCTAGCAGGGTTTGCAAATCAGAATATTCCTGATGAAGAAAAGTAGGTAAAAAGATATGTTACACTGTTTTTGCTAATATATTTTGCCAAAAGGCTGTTCTTACCCAATCCTGTGAATCCTTGTTGAATAAATTCAACAATCATCTATGCATATGCATACAACATGTAGTTAGCATGACGGATGAATTAATAAATTTAGTGTGCTTAGTATTGATTTGTTGAGATTTTTGTTGTTGTATATGTAGGCATGTGTTTGTCTGAGTGTATTTTACTATGTGTCTTAATCCTGTTTTGATCAGAACACTTGAAAGAGTTACAGGCAGAATATGGAAAGCTGCAGTTGGATGTTTACTGGTTTCAGAAGAACCAGACTAACCTTCAGAGGAAGTTCTCATATGACCTGTAAGTATGTGCTTTATAAAAGATGACTTCCCAAGTTGTAGGTGACTTGGTTATAACCTGGAGTGTTCTTCTGTTAACTATAGTACTGCTGGTAAATGTACATTTTTAAGGAGAAAGTAACATCTGACACATCTTCTAAAATTGCTCAGTTGTGAGAAGAGCATAAACCTTGCAGTGCTTGGCATCTCAGTATCCGCAGGCTTCTCCCACACTTCTTGATGTTTCTTCTGTTGCAGGGGGTCTGAGGTAGCAATATTATCACCTAAGGGTTGGGGGGAAAACTAAAACATGAAGAAGCTAAACTCTGAAGAAGTTTTAATTAAGATAGGGGAGTACCTGATGAGAAGCTGTACCTCACTGAACTGCCAGAGATCTCAGGAGATTTCTGGCATCATATTGATCAGACCATGTATTCTGCATTACAGTTCATACCTAGTCACTTGTTTTTCTTGAGATATCCCACTGAATTATAAAGCATGGATAACTGAACAAAAGTACTTACCAGTATCCTTACCCTAAATACCTATTTCCGGTATTTCTGTGGGTTTCTTCTGTGTTCTTTCTGTTCAATAATATTGTTGTTCTCTCTGCCTGCCTTCTCATTCTGTTTTATCTTTCCTCTAGTGCATAGACAAAAAAAGCAATAGAATTTGCTGTTTGCATGTTCTCATAAAGATTTTCCGTCAAGAAAATTGTTTAGTGATGGGTATTTTTCTGTTGTTTAGCCAGATTTTGTAGGAATAATGACTAAAAGTTGAACATGGCAATCAAATAACTTGAATTCTGCAGGCTAAACTTGAAATACCTATTTTCTTCCTTATTTTCCCCCACCTTAGAATGAAGGATTAATATTACATCTTTTGTGATACTTACTGATTACCAGTTGGTTGTGACTTTTTTTTTTCTTTTTTGGTTATTACTCATTTAATAATGATGACCCAGAATGGATTGTATTAGTGGAGCTGTAATTTAAGACTTCTAACAGAAAAGTAGAAGGAAGTTGGAAACTTCAGTTTGTACCAACCTTTCATTAAGCCACATTGCCTATGTGTCTGTTAAGGTGCTTTTTCCTCTCTACATTTGTTGTGTACCGTGCTTGTTAAGCAACATCTGTTTGCTCTTTAGTTAAGTGACAGACCTGAGACTCATGAACTCCTGTGGATGGTTCTGTGCTAGTCATAGAACCTGTTTGCTGGTGTTTTCCTTTTAAGTCTGAGATCAGCAAGAATGAACGGATCCTTAGGCACCTGTATGTGCTGTACAGTCATGTTCTACAGGACACGTACATCCATGAAGCAATGGATTGATAACGTGCAGGGAAGTGATACAAAGCAAATGTATTGAATCTGGCTTCTGAAAACTCATTTGTTGCCCCTATCTGGTGAAATGTTTTCATTGGTGAAATGTGTTCAGTTCAGTTGGGAAAGTCACTGGCCGAGCATCTCTGCTGGTGGTGGTGTACTATAGGGAATCCCTCTTCATTTGATGGAAGGTCAGGGCTGGCTCAAGGTGAAGAGCTAAGCATGATGCAGTGGTAAAGATGAGTTTGCTTGTGTCAGGGTAGATGTAGAGAGAGGCATGATGAATTAGCGATGTGGGAGGTGCACAGGGACTCAGCTAGCTGCCTCCAGTTGGTCCATTTCCTGCACCATTTCCTGCAATGTCTCCATGGGCGTCCGTAAAGACAATTATCTCAGTCAAGGAGCTATGCTTTCTTCACTTGCTTTGCTCAGTAATACCTAAATGTTTGTTTTCTGTTTCTAGATGTTTATTGTAAGTATACAAGCGAGGAAAATAAACTTTGCACTCAAATTTTTGAGAAATAATTTATAGCTTGGGTAGTGTGCAGCATCACACAGTTCTATCAGGAAAATGTATAAATGTATTTTTAAGATGTTGTGTACCTTTAGGGAGGATGTTGGAATATTAATATTTCACTGTTGTGTTAACTTAAATAACTAAGTTTACATTGTGTTGTGGTAGTTTTAGAAATGGATATTCGATTGTACTTAGTTATGTATGTTCTTCTTTGCTAAATGTTCACTTAATACTATCACTTTAAATGCTTAAAACCAAGCTTTTCCCAATGTGATTATGGGCCTAGAAAAATAAAAAAATATTAAAAAGACTCAAATGTTAGTTTTAATCTGTCTCCCTTCTTCCCCTCAGCATTAAAAATAAAACAACGTGTTGCCTCTCTGTTCATCTGCCTTGCCAGGAGTGGGCGTTAGACCTGATTATGCACTTCTTGCTTTTATCTGGATTTGTATGGATGGAGGCTTTGCACCTTATGTATCAAGTACACTTTACCTGGTGCAAAAATGAAGAGAGTATTATTTGTATAATTGAAAGTGTTATAAAAAGATGACAGATGTCAAATGCCTTTTTTTAATTGTATACATTGTAAATCACCCCTTTTAAACATTCAGATACTGCTCTGTAGAAGACAGTGGTAAAAATAGCTGTGCATGTGAAATGTGTAGGAACAAAGTCTATGAACTTAGGAAAAGACAAAATCATTGTTTTTTTCTTGTATCCAAGTCTTGAAGTTTCATCTTAGCATTTTTTTTGAGCAAGCTTAGCGTTTCCCACACAGAAGTCAGCAGGAGCTATGTGAGCTTACTGGTCTTATGTGCTAAAAAAAGGGGTGCACTTTCCTCAGCAGTCGACTTCATGGGATACTCTTGGTGCACACTGTGTCAAGTGCTGTCTGCTCACAGTAGAGCTTCTTCAGCAAAGGCCAACTGGCACTTTGACCCTTCTCTCCTGCAGCAGCCAGAAAGAAACACTGGACTGATCTTCTGAATACATTTCAATATTCACATGCATTTTGATTCCCAAGAGCTTTGTTTTTTTATGTAATTACTTCTTTGGAAATTTTGCTACTTGTAAAAAGTCTGATTAATTAGTTTGGTATTTGCAGACCTGACAAGTGCAAGAGTGTGAGTGCATGACCAGTTCTTTCTTAGCAGGGTTGAAAGGAGCTGATGATATATGCTTCTGGAGAACAAAGGTGCACTGTTTCTCATGCTGGGGTTTGGCAAATCCGGCAGACCAGGAGGGGAGAGGCTTTACATCTGTCCCCATGCACACAGCACGTCTGTACACGCCAGGTGTGCAGGTTAACACAGACTCATGAAGTATGAGCACAGACAACACCAGTAGCTGCATTTCTCTCCCCTGCGAGTGGCTGTCCACTAGTGCAAAATGTGCTGTGGGTGTGGTCTGGTCAAGCTGTCCCTTCTGAGTCTGTAGTTTAGGCTCCCTCCACCTTTGTGCCTCTGTGATCCTTAGAGCTCATGGAGGTGGGCCTTGGATGGGCTGATGTCTCCTGTGATGGTCCTGGGAGCAGCTGGGGAGGGTATTACTTGGGCTCCTTTCTGTGTGTGCAGGTGAGCTCTTTAGCCCAGAAATTTACTTTATGTAATCTTGCGAGGGAGAAAACATGCCACAGAAACTGAATTTAAGAGCATTGGTTTTGCACAGTTGCAATATGTCATGTTGATCAGATGAGATAGAGAAATAGTGCTGTCCCTGTACTACAGAAGTTGTTGTATGCACGAGTAGAGTATTCAAATCTTCAGAAATCCCTTTTAGAAGAATGGAATTCTGTCACAGATAATAAATTTTAAACAGTGAGCATTTGTCACAGATGTTAAATGAACTTCATTTTCATGTGCAAAGTGGGATGAAAGAGTATTTGTGGAAGGCTGCACTATCTCCAACTTCAGGTTCTCTGTATAATGCATCTTTCTTAAGCTTGCAAAGAGGTACAGACAATTCCGATGTCCTTTAATTTCCTAGAAATTAATGAATGTGTGCATAACTCAAGCCTATGTTGTTTTATTGTCCCTAATGTTCATCAACTTGGGAAGCACTGCTTATTTTGGTGATTTTCCTTGCATTACCATTAGCAAAATGAAACTTTCGAACACTGTCTAGTCAAGAAGAAATGGTAATAAGGATGGTAAATTCATCTGTTCATAGCATAGCTGTCTGCTACTGTTCTTCCTTTCTGGGTGTAAACTACAGAAGGGATTTTTTTGTTTTTGAAAAGTAGGGGTGGAGAAGGGTGAGAGTGCAATAAAAATGAGTGCACATACCCTGAGAATTCCTTTGGGTTAGTTAGTAGTTTATTTGTAGCTTGAGTAACTGGAATGTGCCTGTCTGAACCAACTGCTGCTACACTGAGGGTATTAACACTCATAATAACACTGGTCAGAGCCAGAATCAGCAGAATTTTACCCCCCTTCTGTCTAAGTGAAAGGGAAGAGAAACTTGCAGTGTGTTGACCGTGCTGTTATACAAAGGACACTGAGAGAGATTTTGGATGCAGAAAGATGTGTTTGCAGGATCTTTAGCTGACATAGTTACCTTTGAGTGGGAAGAAAAAAGGAGAGAAAGGAAAAAAGGTTTAAACCCTGCAACAAACTTTCACTGCTACGACCAGTAGAGAAAAGAAACAGTGTGGTCCCCATCCAAAACTCTTGCTCAGGTAGGCATTCGAGGGCAATGGATACTAATGATGATGGTGCTTTTTCACCACATTTGCCCCTAGTGTGATAACTTCTCAGTGGGATCCATTTTAACACACTACTGCTTGCTCTTCTTCACAATGTGATCAAAGCATACTTGGGGTCTGTGATGGTTTGGACTTGGCTCCCTGCCAAATGCCCAACCCCCCAGTAGCAGCCTCCCCCCACTTCCCCCTTCCTTCTTCCCCCAGGGCAAAGGAAAAAAACTATGCAAATTGAAGAACCCGAAAAAATCAAACTAGTTATATATAAATATATATATATATTTTATGTATATTACAGTTAAGATGCTATGTACACGGGAACGGGAATCCAAACACCCCCCCAAAGGGATAGGGAAAGGGGGAAAAGGGACAAAAGGAAACAAAAAGGGACACCGAATAGATATGCGCAATCAAACCCGAGAACTAGCAAAATAACTAGTAAAACAAATCTCACCACGTTCCTTAGAAAGCAGGATTGGCAGACGTGGCCAACACTCTCCAAGCTTCCACGTGGCAGGTCAGTGGATGCTGCAGGCCTCAGCCTTAGATAAGCGAGACCAACGCAGGGACCCACTGTTCCCGAACTCCGGCGGAAGAGAAGAAGAACGAAGGCTGCTTCTCCCCTCTTATTTATACCATGATTTATGTAAAAATCGTATGGAATACTGGGAACACTGCCCCTTCCTTGGTTACAAACTGGTAACCAGGGAAGGCCTAGATTAAAACCACCGCAGGGTCCTATCATGGCTAGTTTATAAGCCTTCTGTCTGTGTGTTACAGGGTAATACTTATCTGCTTTGTTACTCACTAGATCTTGGTCTTATTCTTCCTCTAATATAAGCGGAAAGTTACAAAACAAGTTATGAAGAGAGCGGGAAAGAAAGGGTGGTCTTGGCTCCAATTGCAGCACTTCCCCTGAGACACTGACATAGACAACACTCCTGGGCTTTGCGCAGTATCTCCAGCACAACCACAGAAAGGGAAAAGACCGCCCTGGCAGCTTTAGGAAAAACACTGCAGCAACAGCCCAGGACTTACCTTGGAGGTACAGAGCTGTAAGGGAAAGGCAGGATGCAGAAATGCAAACAGAAGAAGACCCTTGCTGTCACAAAGGTTAAGATGTTAATGGCTCTGTGTAAATATTAAAAGTATGTACAAGATACACTGTGCTTGCATCTTTAGGAAATATCCTTTTGGAACTTGCAGTAGCTACTGATGAACTCCATTTCTGTAAAGTATGTCTTGCAGTGCTGCACTTTGCTGCAATATTGAGAAAGGGTGTTCAGTTTGCTAACAGTAGATCACAACCTGTTTTTTTTTTCAACTAGTACTTCACTATTTTCTTCTTCTTGGCTAAAATCAAATATGAATTTCTATTATTATACTAGAAATGCTTCAAGGATCAAAATTAACTTAACTGAAATTGAGTGGTTAGTGGAAGACGCACAAAAACATCATGTAGCTTGTTGAGCTGGTCAGACAAAAGCAGTTTAAAATAATTTCTCCCAATAGAACTTGGACCACCTGCACTATGAGTTTGTCCTTAGGATGTAGGTTAACACTTTTCCCTACTGACTTCTCAAATGTAAGCTTAGAGAATAGAACTAAGGAAATAATAACATGTTTAAAAAAAAAAAATTAAATAATTTTACAAAAGAACATTTCAGAAGAGTGTGGATGAAAGTTAACTGTCTTATTTGTGTTTTCTGCAGGTCACAGTGCATCAACCAGATGAAAGAATTAAAAGAACAATGTGAAGAAAGGATAGATGAACTTACAAAAAAAGGCAGTGATGTACCACAAATCAAAGAAAACAAAGAATTATCAGAAGATTCAAAAAAATATAGCCAGGTATTGTTTGGATAATTTCTAGAAAATATTTTTCTTCGCAATTTTTAAGTATTCCTCCACCTTTCTGCTGTCTCCAACTAACATTAGCCCAGCTCAGTAAGTTTTGTTCTGCTTCAGCATTTGTTGAATCTTTATGATCTGTGGGAAACGGTGCAATCCAAGGACACCCCTTCAGTGAAGAAATTTTTCCTAATATCCAATCTAAACTTTCTCTGGTGCAACTTGGGGCCATTTCCTGTTGTCCTGTCACTTGTTACCTGGGAGAAGAAGCCACCGCCCACCTTGGTGCAGCCTCCTTTCCAGGGAGTTGTAGAGAGCTTGATGGCTGGGAGAGCATCAGATTCCCATGACTGTGGAAGTCAGCAGACAGCGGTTTGGAGCAATCAACTGTGGCTTCTTTGTCCTGCTGCAGTTACTGATGCAGGGCTGCCAGGCAGGTAACCCCAAGCAGGCCTCATCATACCTGAGCTTAACTTTTCTTTTTACTTCTTCTTCCTCTCAAGTCTTTCTCTCTGGTCCTTCTCATAAACTCCTCTACAAACAGCTCAACTCTGCTCTTTCCCCACTGGTTCCTGGGTTTGCACTCTCATTTGGTGTTTTTGAGATGACAGTAGGGGGAAGAATAACCCTATATGTCAACTCAGGCAGGGTCCTGACTGCTTGAGCAGTGACTGTGAAGAGGAGAGCCTGGGTACTACAAGGGATGCCTCGTGTGCCAGTGGTGCAAAGTCAACAGTGTGTATGGGGTTGCATTAGGAGAACCATGGCCACCCCATCTTTTTAAACCTCTTTGACCTCCATTCAACCCTAGAAATGTGCTGTAGTTGGACAATCGCCATTCTCTACAGCACCAGATTCCCTTCCTAGAGGATGGGTGTTTTCACTGTGTGAAAGCCCAGGGTACATCCCTCGGTTCACTGACTAGCTTTCATTTTCACCAAGAACTAATGGCCAGTCTCTTCGCGAATGAAGAACCGGGGAAGGTCTTTCCACCTTCCAGCCTGCGCATTGGATTTTTTAGGTGAGACACAGTGTGTGCGGAACTGAGCCCACCCTTTAATCCTAAGGTTCATCTGCCGGGGCCAAGCACGCTTGGACGGTGGCAGCGAGGTCCTCAGGACGTAGATGGATTGCCTTATGGGCTAACGAGCTCCATCCGCCCGGGGAGGGGCCCCGACCGGGAATCGAACCCGGGTCTCTGCAGTGACAGTGCAGTGTCTTTTCCCCTAGACCACCGGTGAATTGTTAGTCAAATCCTACGTTTCTCAAAAAGTCTGAGCTTTTCAGTCCTAAACACATAGAGAAGCCTCTTCGGAGGAAGAGCCCAGGCTGAAAGTAATGCACTGGGGACATCCTGTTTTATTACAGAGATCCTTCTGAGCCAGTGTTAGGCACACAACAGAGCCATCAGGGTAGGAGGTGACACAAGGATGGTGCATGACTCAAAGGTAGTAAAGCAAATGCAAAAATTTTGTAGAAACTTAATAACCATAAATGACAACAACCAAAGCCATAATAATTATAATGATATTGAAACAAACAAATTTAATACAAACAAACAAACTCCCCTCCCTCGGCCCCCTGCCAAAACACTTTATTCAGATAATCTGGGAGTCGTTTATGGAGAGAGGTGGTAATCTTATTGCTGTGGAAAACATATGAGGACTCACTCTCTTAATGGCACCCTCAAGCTCCCAGTTCCCTATGCTGTAGATAAGTGGATCCACTTGATGGAGACACCACAAAGCACAAGACTATCAACCAGGAGATCTAGGGATGGGGAGGAGATGGAAGGGGACCTCAGGTATGCAAACAGGCCAGCACTGACATACAGGGAGACCATGGCCATGTGAGGAAGGCCAATGCCAATGTGAGTAAAAGTAGTACATGGAATTTTAATTGCTAAATTGGGAGATCTTCAAGATTGTGTGTATCTTAGCCTTAGTCTTAAGTGGTTCAGATGGTGAGAGTGGTCTACTGCCAGAACTGAATACAATCTTAAGCAAGCCCTATTATATTAAACAGGTACCATTGTCTAATTGGTTAATTTACATTTTTTTTCTTAATCCTGCATTCAACATAGTTACAGAGCAGTTTCATACAAGCCTTACTTAACTGAAATTTTATTATGTCCAAACACAGTTTTCCTGCCAATAGATTACTAATAGTAGTTAATGCCATCTGTTTTTTTTTTTTCCTCTGCTGACCCTGACACAGTAACAGGGTAACAGTGGATAAATGTGGGGTGTTACAGGTCTGTGACGCTCGGAGAGTAATTGACAGCAGTAAGCTCATTCCTACCTGCAGTTAAAGAAGGTCTCTTAAAACTCTCCTGATGTGTCATGCTGTTACACAGAAACATTACTGCATATTCAAGGTTGTGTAGTACTTCCATTCCCAATAAAAAATTTCAGTGCAAATATTTCCAACTGTGTTGGGATTTTTTTCCCCCCACTGAATTCTTACCTATGTTCCACTTCCCCTTCCAAATCCAGGAGCAGTTACATAGACCAATGCTTATCTTGTGTGCATTCACTTTATAGGTCAATATTCAGCTGCCAGCCTTGAAGCAAACCGAGGTCAAGCATGCTGACTTGGAACAGCAGAAACCCAGTGAAGATGTACCTAAAGTAGTACCTACACTAAGACAGACAGACTTGATGCAGGCTAAAGGTGAGATGGACATCATTGTCTTACTAACAACTGGTTAAGAACAGTTGCAATTTAATTGAACATTTAAAAACATTTTTGTTCACAAGATCAAGATGGAAAAAAGTGACACCAAAAGTTGGAACTTTAAGTAGTTTTTCAGTCTTGGAGAGGCACTACTGAAGCATTTTTATTGCTAGCATTTCTACCGGTTCAGTTTTGTTGTAATTGACATGTTGCATTTAAAGAAAAATACAAATATTTGCAACTCTGGAGTCATATTTCTCATGCAATATGGAGAAAATACCCTACACTTTTGGAAGGAATGATTTTCAAGAACACTTAAAATCTTCCTGCTTAGTAAGTTTGACACATCCAGCCTGCTTTTCCTCCCTATGGAATAGCTAAAAGTTAGGCTTAGAACAAACACACATACATGCTTCCCACTTGTTGTGACTGAGCAAAATGCAATAAGGAAAGTAATAAGAGGAGATCTGGTTAGTTAACCTAATGGTTTAGTTAACTTAATGGTTACTTTTGGTACTAAACTTCAGAAACTGTTAATTTGAATGAATGTATCTTTAGGCGTCCATCTTGCACAGTACTGTAGTAGAAATTTGATTCCCTATTTAATTATTCTTACATGCTATTTTAAATTACAAACTTGTCCACATGCAACTCCCATTTTAGAGAGCTAGCAACTGAAGACAACATTTACATACAGTTTATTTGGGCAAATTTTATCTTTTTTTTTTAGTTAAAAATGCAGATACACAGGGAAAAAGGTAAGTTAACGTCTGCCAAAAATGATAGCATTCCTGCACTTCCTCTTCATATTTAAGAGTAAGAGCAGCCGTGGTTTACTTACAAGCTGCCTGTGACTGCTTTGTCCTGAGCTACTTTTAAATACCAAATCAATTTTATTGTTTGTAACAAAATGTGACACACATAAACCTCACATTTATATAGCACACTGCAATTTTTATTTAAACTGCTTCATTTCATTTTCCCAAGTTATTAACCACACCCCCCGAAATTTTAAAGACGTAGAGGGATGAATCTGATGACAGTAAACAAAGTCTCCTCCTTTAGCTGTTCCCGGTAGGAAAAACATGAATTATTTTCTTTTTATCTTTGGAACTGAGGTGGTTGAAAGATATTATTTCAGAGGAAAAACAAGAATTGAATGAGAAATATAAAGCAATATTTATTAAAGCTTTTTAACTTGTGCCACCACTGAGAGGCATTATTTTTTTCACTCAGAATTTTTGTTTTTTTCAGAAAGAATAGATGGCCCAGCTGACATCAGAAAACAGGAGCCTAAGGCAGAAGAGGAGCAGCTTTTTAGTCAATTGAAAAAACCACAAGACTCCCTCAAAGCTGCTGCAAGTCACAAGGAGATGCTACCTGAATCAGAGAAGGAGCCAAATCCATCTGAAAAAGAAAAACATGTAGCTGGGCAAGATGCGTTACAGCCAGCACCAGAGCAGGCTGCCAGTGAGGAAATTGAGAGGGAACAGCTCCTAAATTACGATGCTAAGCAGGATGACTTGTCCCCAGGAAGGGCCGGTTCGTACCATGTTAAGAACAATATTGATAAGAACAGTAAAGAAATGAAACTGTGAACTAGGGCATGATTTCTGCAACAGCAGTGGCAGCTGGCCAGACTTGAGTACAAGTTTTCACAAAGGTCAGTGTGATACATGAAAGGTGTCAGTCAACAGCGGTCTCCTGCAGTCCCTGGGTGAAAACAGAGGTTTCTGTTAGTGCAACATGGAGCTATCAGGCTGGACTCCTCTGCATCTCCACAACAGCCTTAATGGCTTTCTCTCCATTAGGCTGTACAAGGCATTTGGGGAAATTAGCCCCCAAATGTTTTGGTACTGGGGCTTCTTAAGAGTATGATGCATTTGAAAAAGATGAGATGTTAACCATTCAAAGCACTGATGAGTAGAGAGTTATGTGTGGATGTTTTGCAATTAGTCTTTTTACAGTGCAAATGCTAATGCTAGCTATCAGTATTTCAAAATAAGATACGTGACTAAAACTCTAAGACTTCAAATATCTGAAGTTTATGGCTGTGAGTCTGCAAAAACATGGATCAGATGTTGTAAAGGTGCTGGTTTCCGGCATCTACCATGTGGCCTTGAAACACATCTGCATGGCACGGAGCAGCAGAGTACTGATGTTGTATCTAAACCTGACAAGTATCTAGACATAGCTCTCTGTCTTGAGGGATTTGGTCTCAGATGGACTCAGTAGCCCAGAGTAACCAAAACAGGAAACCTTATGGCAGTCGCCGCAGGAATTGATGCCCACAAAAAATGCTGTTTATGGTTTTCTAGTGAAGACATTCTTAGAATTGTGAGTTATGAATGAGTGTTAACATTGTTGCTAAACTGGCAGGGATAAAAAGTCCCTGATAAACTAATGGCATAAACTAGTGTGATGGTTTGGACCTGGCTCCCTGCCAAAATGCCCAAACCCTCAGCAGCAATTCCCCTCCACACTTCCCCCTCCCTTCTTCCCCCAGGGCAAAGAACTATGCAAATTGAAGAACCCGAAATCAAGTTAGTTATACAACAATATATATTTTATGTACATTACAGTTATATACAGTTAAGATGCTAGGTGCACAGCAAAAGGGAATCCAAACACCCCCCGAAGGGATAGGGAAAGGGGAACAAGGAACAAAAGGGGACAAAAAGGAACACCGAGCAGATATGCGCAATCAAACCCAAGAACTAGTAAAATAACTAGTAAAATAAATCTCACCACGTCCCTTAGAAAAGCAGGACTGGCAGACACGGCCAGCACTCTCCAATCCTCCACGTGTCAGTCCAGCGGTCGCTGCAGGCCTCAGCCTTAGATAAGCGAGACCAACACAAGGACCCACTGTTCCCAAACCTCGCCGGAAGAGAAGAAAGAGAGCGAAGGCTTCTCCTCTCTTCTTATTTATACCCCGATTTACGTAAAAATCATATGGAATACTGGGAACACTGCCCCTTCCTTGGTTACAGACTGGTCACCAAGGAAGGCCTAGATTAAAACTACCACAACTAGTATTTTTCCAACTGTACAAAAAGATGCTGGCCAGAGTATCTCAAAGAGATGTAATTAAAAGTCACCTAAACTGCTGCCATTTTAACAGAAATAAATAGCAAAAAGATTAGGTTAAGAAATCATCCAACAATTAGTGGAAGGAAAAGCTCTGCCATGCAGCCTGTGAAAGGTCTGCATTTCTGCGAGCAAAAAAACCTAGCAGTATGTTCTTGAGGCTGATTGTTCAACAAAAATACCATACTTACTGCACAGGTTCCTTGTAGCCAAAGGAGCCCTAAGAAATACTTCTTCATTATTCTCTGTGCATCCTCTGTCTTCCAGAAAGAGCTGCTTCTGAGAGTTTGACAGCTTCAGGTCTGTTTGATGTGGTGGTCTGAATATGGCTTAAAGCTTAAATTTTCAAGCCACTTACTAACTGCAGGGCTTGGCTTAAGAATATTTTGAACCAGAAGCTATAATCTATCTTGAGTGGAGCATGTTTATACCTCTTGTGGGATATGCTTATACCTCTCTGCTGTTATGGTTTTTTTCTGGCTGATTACTTGAAAAATAAGGATAGTAGTATGGCAATCAGAAATAATGTTTCCATTTACTTTTGAGTGCTCTGTCTAAAGGAATCTGAAGATAGTCAATAAAAGTTGTTAGAGATGAGTTAATGACGAAGTGAAGAAAAATCTCTTCTAGGAAAGAAGAGGTATGTCAGGTTAGCACATCAAAATACTCTCTTTTCTTATTCACAGCTATATTCACAGCTTTTCCCTTGCTGGACAAACTAAAACAAAAAGGGCAGAAGCTGAGACGTTTTGGTGGTAGTGGCAATACATTTAAAAGCAACATCACAGTCAAGTTTGCAGCACTGGCTTCAGGTTTTGCTCTTCCTTAGGCTGTCCTTTAATGTATTCTGAAATTGTTCAATGCTTTTTCTTTCTGTCTGAGTGCTGGCTGAACTTTATTGCATTTTCCAAATCCCAAAAGATTCTGGCTTTTATCTGGTTCTTTAGACAAGATTTACAGCAAAAGTTGCTCTGAAACTTAACACTTCAAAATGAAAAATAATATGAAAACCTACTCTGAACAGCAGTTTATTCAGCAGCAAAGTAAATTACATGGAAGATGATTACAGTCACTGTTTCTCTGTGCAATGACCTTATGGTGTAGCATAAAACTACTTCATTTTAAACTTTTTTCAGACAAACAGGAACATGAAGCAATGAACCAGGACAAGGATGTTGATTACAATTTAGATGAGAATGAAGCTGAATCAGAAACAGACAAGCAAGCAGCACTTGCAGGGATTGAAAATGGTAAAAAAAGAAAAAAACTTATTTAAAGCCAAATACCATGTGCTGAAAATTTTAAGATGGTTTTTTGCATAGTATTCTGTAGTAAGATATGCCTAGCTAATTTCTGTTTGTTCTTTGAGCTTTCCCTCATGTTGATAGTGTGATTTATTTTCTGTATAGTGTCACTGAAGCTGCTCTTTAATGGGAAGCATGGGGCTGTGGTATCTGTAACTTTACTGTATTATACAGTATTTAGTAGTCTTTACAAAATTTCTCCTGTTGTTTTCTACATAGAAGAACTTTCTTTATGAAGAACTATTATTTCTGCCTCTTAAAAGAGATTTCTGTACCTTTTTTATCCTCATTAGTTCAAAACCCTGAAGATATGAAGAACCACTTATCTGACCATGGTGAAGGACAGCAGAAGTTGTGAACAGACGAGGTTCATGATGCAGCTTAGTCACCTCTTCATCTAAATGCAGTAATGATGAGAGCAAAAGGATCTGAGAATGTTTTGATTACCTTCTCAAGGCTTGAATAAGGGCCCAAAGGAAGTAGTATCTTCTTGTGAAGTTTTAGTACTGTTTTCAGTGGGAAAAAAGTATTCTGAAATCACTTTAGAGGTCAAAGCAGTTGACCTCTGCACTGACTCTCTCCTTCCTACCGATTATAAAATTGAAATCAACTAGCAATAAATGTAGTAACTTTGAAGTTGGATAGTCTTACTGCAGTAGTGGTATATGTGGATTGTTGGTACATAAGGAACAGTCCTCTGCCAAGGATGGATCTCTCCCCTGATCAATGCACAACAGAGAAATACCCAGCCTAGTTTTAGGAACTTAAGAGGAGCTATGCCACCAAACATGGGAAGGATGAAAAACAGTCCATCTACTCTTGTGCCTATTCTGGCACTTCTTTACTGCAACATAAATATACTCAGAAAGCAGAATGATATATTTTACCTGGGCCTTCTGAATTAAATTTCTATTTGCACTCTCTGGATGAGGTCTTAGCTTCGAAGTTAAAAAAAAATTCAAAACAATTCTGACAATAGTGCCTTCTTTTTAAGAGATTACCCAGGAATATTTTTCTCAAAGCTTTGTGGACTCTTGTTCACAAGTTCAGTACTACAGTATGATTCAGTTACCACTAACTTGCACATTAAAATGCACAATAAAAATTCAAACTCACAAACTTTCCGTGACAGAAGTCCTCTGAAATGGTGTGCTACAAGCACCCTTTACTCCACCCAGCCACTATCTTCTGCTAAAACATAGGAAGGCAAACACTTGCCTTGTAGAACAGCAGTCATCTCAGCTGTTCACCATGAATATTCTTCTGTGCTGGACTTTTGAAGGAGGTAAACCAGACTAAGCATTTAGAAGACCTGGCAGTGACTCCTACAGATGAAGCTGTAGTCCTTGTAAAGTCCTGTGTTATTCACAATCTGTCATCTTGTTAATGTTCATGTCTTGTCTTTTCTGTCATTTGTTCAATGTAAATTAGAAACTAGTTTGCTTGCAGTAAGCTAGAAATATCCCCTACTTACCACTAGGACACCTTTTACTGCATGTCTGTTGCCAGCTGTTTTGAAGAATTTTTGTATTTGTGTCTGTACCCAAGACCAACATCTGTGTTTAGAGCAATTTTTTGAGCATGAACCAACCTCTGAGACAGCAGACAGCCATGACTAACTTGCCAACCAGCAATTCCATTTCAGAATACAGAAATTTGCCTTTACTTTCCCTTTCATTTTGTAACTAACTCCTTTTGTGATGTGTCATTCTTCAGTATACTGCTTTACAACTCCTGAACCTTAAGATAAAATGAAATATGCAACTGGAAGGTTGACTCTTTTGTGTATGGAAAAAGTATTAGTTCTCATCAAGTGAAGGTCAGAGCTTAAGTCAAATGGAGCCTATTAGGCCTAAACACAGAAACAGTTCACTGAGTTTTTCACCATCTAAGTCAGACTTAACTGGTCTGGGCTACTACAGTCAACACAGCAGGGAAAAACAAATGCTTGTAAGCAGAAGAGAAGAGGTATGAGCATCTGTTCTGGTATTGGGAATCTTGCATTATTGGGATTTTTCTTTTGTTGCAAATAATGGCATGTTTTAACATCAAAGTGTTTACCCATATTCTGGCTAAATTAGCCATCTTCTCAGCATTTTCATAGGACTTTATCTGTAAACAGTTATGCCTCTCAGATTAAGTTGATCAGGAATTTAATACTGATTGTTAAAAAGCATATGTTCTACGAGTGAAAAACACAAAAACACTGCATTCAAGTTGAATTAATAGCTTTACTATTATCAAGTTAAAAACCCCAAAGAAAAACTACTTAGAGTAATTAGTATATTGCCAGAGACTTCTTTCTTAAAACTGTTTTAGCTGTATTTCTGTACATTTTTGGGTTTCTCCAAGCCACTGGGACACTGTCCTGCATAAACAAGACCACCTTTGTACAAGGCACACTTGAAAACCTGTGAAAACCTGCATAAAAGCAATGTTCAAAAGCATGAAGGACTACGATTTTATTTGCAATGGCTTCAAGTGCTACAGGAATATAACTAGGGTGATATTACTTCTTTTCTGTGATCATCTTGGCATTAAATTAACACATCCTTGATTTTTTTTTTTTAACTAAGCCTGAGTCCTTTTAAGTAAGCATTTTAAAATTAAAATAATCTTGTCTAATGTGTATTTGCCTTATTTTGTACAGTTCATCCTCTTCTAGTTTTAGTGAAAATGGGAAGGATGATTATTGCTGTTTTCTTAGTTCCATAATCCTCTCAAGTCTATGAAACCAGATGGGATCCATCCTAGGGTGATAAGAGAGCTAGGGGAAAAGCTTGCCAAGCCGCTCTCTATCATTTACCAACAGTCCTGGCTCACTAGGGAGGTCCCAGATGTGGCAAATGTCACACCCATCCACAAAAAGGGCTGCAAGGAGAACTCAGGAAACTACAGGCCTGTCAGCTTGACGTTGTTGCCTGGCAAGGTTACGGAGCAGATTATCCTAGGTGCAATCACACAGCACCTACAGGATGGACAAGGGATCAGAATCAGCCAGCACAGGCTTAGGAGGGGCAGGTCCTGTCTGACCAACCTGATCTCCTTTTACGATCAGGTGACCCACCTGGTGGATGAGGGGAAGGCTGTGGATGTGTCTATCTGGACTTCAGCAAAGCCTTTGACACTGTCTCCCATAATATACTCCTGGAAAAGCTGCAGCCCATGGCTTGGACAGGGGCACTCTGTGCTGGGTCAGGAACTGGCTGGAGGGCCGG